CGCACACGGACATCAGGCCAAACACAGGAGTCCTTCTGAGTTTGTTTCGGCCGCAAGGGATTTGGAGCATCCTTTTGATTCTTGTAAAGCTGTGCCAGACAGGATTTTGGAGATCGTTGCCTCTCTTCTTTCGAGTAGCCCTGTGGACATACTGAGGCATAGACTGTCCGTTTTGCACAAATGGAAGACGTGGGCTCGCGATCTTCAGGCTGATGAAGATCGCCTTCATGAGAGTCTTGAACCAGGTGTCGCATCGGTGCTTGAAGGCAAGAAGCTTCTTCTTCTGCGTAAGGTGGCTGCCTCGCTGGGTTGGCCAGACGAGGCTCTTCATGATGAGTTGGTTCGTGGCTTTCGCATTACAGGACTGCAGGACGCAAGTGGTGTCTTTGGTCTTGATCCTCGGCCGGCTTCGGGTACCAAGGAGGATTTGCTGAAGCAGTCAAAGCATCTCAGGCCGGCTTTGTGGGCGAAGATCAAAGGAGCCCCTCTGGACTCTCTGGGGCGCGAGCTGTGGGACATTACGTATGCTGAGTACCGAGATAAATCCTGGCTAGAGGAGCCGAGGACTTTCTCCCAGCTTGAGCAACTGATGCCGGAGGGTTGGGTTCCGACTCGCCGCTTTCCTGTGGTGCAGCATGACAAGCTGCGACCGATAGATGACTTGACAGAGTGTGGGACGAATGGGGCATGCAGTACTCTTGATAAGCTTGATCTTCGGGCCCTGGACGAGACGGTCTTTACAGCTATGCTGATCATGCGTTGTCTGGAGTCCCGTTGCTTTGCTTTGAGGTTGGACGATGGTCGCGTTCTTCGAGGGCGCGTTCATCCCTACTGGCTGCAGCATCCAGACCGGGCTTGTGTTCTCGTTAAGACGGTGGACCTTAAATCTGCCTACAAACAACTTGCGCTGCATCCGGATGACAGGAGGTTCAGCGTGATCTCTTTGAAAGATCCGGCCGATGACGAGCCCAAGGGGTTCTTGTGTTGGGTGTTACCTTTCGGCAGCATTGCAAGTGTTGGACATTTCAACCGGGTGGCGCGGTTGGTGCAACGAATTTTTCACGAGATGAAATTGCTTGCTGCGAATTATTTTGATGACTATCCTTTGCTGGAGGTGGCTGAGCTAAGCCAGAACGCTGACCGGTGTGCCAAAGCAGTTCTTGAGCTTTTCGGTTTTACGTGGGCCAAAGACAAGGATGAGGCCTTCTCCCCCTGCACTGATCTTCTTGGTGTCAGGCTGGCCACTTCTACTTCTGGTCCTGCTGCTGTCACTCTTTCGAATAAACCATCGCGGGTCGAAGACCTTCGCAATGCCATCGACAAGGTGGTTTAGATGGCGTTTTGAGGCATCGCGAAGCCGCATCTGTTTTTGGTCGTTTGCAGTTCGCTGAGACTCAGCTCCTTGGCAGGGCAGGTCGTCTTGCCATGCCGGACATTCGCTGGATCGAGAGAGCTCATCACGATGTAAAACTTGATGATTTGGACAAGAATGTTTTCCGCATGCTTGCTTCGCGTGTGGCTTCCGGGAAGCCTCGAGTGCTGACTGCTTCTACTTCTGCTGCGAGGGCTCTAGTCTTCACCGATGGCGCTTGTGAAGGTGAGGAGGGCAACCAGCAACTCACGATTGGCGGAGTCTTGTATTTCTGGACTGGCAGGGCTTGGTTTACGAGATGGTTCAGTGGCTTCGTTCCTGCTGAGCTGGCCAGTTCGTGGCGAGCTGCCGGCAAACGCCACTTGATAGGCCCGACTGAATTGTACGCGGTGATTGTGGCGAGGCATGTCTGGAGCCGCTTTCTAGATAACACTCGATCCATGTTCTTTATCGATCATGCCGGAGTTCTCAGTTCGTGCATTAAAGGGACCTCGCGCGATTCCGAGTGGAGGAAGCTTTTTCTGGCTTTCGAGAAGATCGACTCAAGCTCACCAAGCCTGACATGGTACGCGAGGGTTCCCTCGCAATCGAACCCATCGGACTCGCCATCTCGAGGCTCCAGTGATTTTCCAACTTTCGGATCAGTGACGTGTGACGTAGCTTCGTGTCCTATTGCGAAGTGCTCTTTGCGTGCAGTGGTCAGTGAGGTTGGCGAAAAGGGGGTTGTCCCCTGACCACTGGCGGTGTGCCAGTGGCTACTCGAGAGGAGATGTGCTCCCTTCTCGATGCCACGACATGTGCTGTGCATGACTACCCCACTGGCCTTTGTGCCGCAAAAAGAGCTGTGTGCGTCTGTGAGCTGATTATGATTGGATGGCAATTTCATTATTATATTCGTGATTGGCAACTTTTCTGATACCATATGGATTTTGTGACTTTTATAATAATTCGTGAAATGCCCGGTTATAAGCTTCCTTTGGCGCTTGCGCCATATTGCTTTATAACTAGGGCTTTTGTGTTTTGTCGTTTGTGGCACGCAAAACACTTTCACGAATTTCGGCAACAGTTTTCATTGAATGATTTGAA